GCCATTGTGCTATCACTGTACCATCTGGAATACGTGACCACCAAGGAAGAGAGTATAGAACTCCACTTTCTTCCTGGATCTTGGGCAGAACCAATCACAAGGCCCCCAGCTAACTGCTCAGGAGTTTAGGAGATGCAGGGGTGTCCTGTGAGTATGCTGCCCCCAACATCCTGGAGCCCCACAGGCTGTGGATAAGGGGCACCATTTTGAAACAATTTTTGGCCCCAAGGTTTTGGCTAAAGGATTATGGACCTGTATTATTTACTGAGCACTTATTATATGTCAGGTACTAGTCTAATCTCATTGGAGTCCTGATGTGGCACTGTGGGTTAATGCACTGGACTGCAAGCTCAGTTTGAACCTCAAGGTCAACAGTTCAGACTCACCAGCTGCAATCGGAAACCCTATATGGGTCACTGTGAGTCATAACCAACTCGATGGCACTTAACAACTCCAATTCTAATCTTATTCGGGAACCATGGTGGTGCACTGGTTAAGGGTTTAACTGCTAACTAAAAGGCCAGAGGTCTGAGCCCACACCCCCCTCTGTGGGAGAAAGATGTGGCAGTCTGCTACTGTAAACATTTACAGCCTTGGAATCCCTATGAAGCTATTCTGTTGTGTCCTAGAGGGTCACTTACTATGAGTCAGAATTGACTCAATGGCACATACCAGCAATGATCTAGTCTCTTTACCCAAATTATATCATTTAATTTTTTCAATAACTTTATGAGAGAGATACTATCATATTCTCTCTCACTACAGATGAGACTCAGTCAAAGAGAGGTTAAGTAACACGTTTAAGGTCATGGCTAGGAAGTTGTCGAGCTAGGATTTGAAACCAGGTAGTTTACTCCATAACTGTGTTAATAGTTATATAAACCAAAGAAAATTCATTGTTGTTGAATCGATTCCGACTCACAGTGATCCTATAGGACAGAGTGGAAAATCCCCATAGGGTTTCCAAGACTATGAATCTTTGAGGAAGAATACCACATCGTTCTCCTCTGGAGTGGCTGGTGGATTTAAACTTCCAATCTTTCTGTACCACCAGGGATCCTCAACAACTATCTGCCTCAAAATACATAGCAGGCAGATGACGTTTTGTTTGAAAGATTGAGGCTGGACATAGAGATTTGAGAGTCTTTATGTAAAGGTTGACAGAATCAGTTTATCCCACTGAGGAGACAGTGTTAGAAGGAGAGCAATCCAGAGACCAGACGTGCAAACACTAAGGAATGACCACAGAAGGAGGGCGGGGGAGCAGGGAGAGCATGAAGAAAAGGAACCAGTAAAGAAGCAGAAGTGGTTAGTGTGGTTCTCTGGGCCAGGATAGGGTCACAGAAGTGAGTGGAGGACAGAACCTCTGGAAAGAGGACTTGGTCCCCGGTGCAAACTGCCTCAGAGAGGTCAAGGAGAATGGTTGCCAGGAAGGAGCTGATCAAGTGCACTTTCCTCACCCACTGCTGCTGTGGTCAGCCTGACCAGGGAAGCTCAGGTTAGGAGCTAGGCAGATTTGGGCCTACTGTGTGGCCTGCATCCTGCTTCAGGAAAAGTTGTCACCACCTCAGAGTAGGGCTCTAGTACCTTGACATCTGTTTGCACTGCTTACTTACACACTGACTGGATTTGGGTATGAGTGAATTCTCTGTTGGAAAGAAAGTTGAATCCCCTTTTGACTACATTCACATAGATGACAGTGCTTGGTTTATGGCCCTCCATGAAGTATATTTGGACTCCTGGTGTGGCGCTACAGGATCAGCACTGGACTGCGAACCACAAGGTCAGCAGTTCAAATGCACCAGCTGCTCCTTGGAAATCCTAAACAGGGTTATGAGTCGGGAATAGACTTGATGACACTTAGTAACAACAACAACGATAATGAAATAAATTTAGTTCCTTCAGTCCCAGAAATGGACAGAGGAGCTTCCTCCATTAAAAGCAATATATATTGCTGTCAAGTTGATTCCAACTCATAGCGACCCTGTACCCTGTAGTACAGAGTAGAACTGTTACGCAGGGTTTCCAAGGCTGCTGTGTTGCTGTGGGTTAATGTGCTGGACTGCAAGGTTGGTTTGACCCAAGAGGGCAGTGGTTCAAGCTTACCAGCTGTTCCTCGGAAACCCTATACAGGGTTGTGATGAGTCGGAAGTGAACTTGATGGCACTTAACAACAGTCTTTACAGAAGCAGACGGCCTCATCTTTCTCCCACAAACCAGTTGGTGGGTTTGAACCACCAACCTTTCAGTTAGCAGACAAGCATTTAACCCGTGCCATCAGGGCTCTTTCAGATTCCTTCGTAGCTATGCATAAATGTGATGACCCAGTTTATGAATGAGAGCTGCACCAAACTGTGCTGGGCTATTGGCAGGAATGGGTGAAAGGATGTGGTGACCCTACTGTGGGGACTCAAGACTACAAAGTACAGTTGGCTCTTGGGAAACCCAGAGCCAGCTGGGGAAGAAGCAGAGTGTATGAAGCTAGAAAAGGCGTGTTAGAGCTGAGCAGCACTTCTCAGGCCTCGGGCTTTGGAGGGTCCTTGCCATGGTGACTGCTTAGCATTTCAGGGGAGAGGAGAAAAAAAGAGAGTGACAAAGCCACTTGAGTCCACCCCAAAACTTCCTCACAGTATTGTCCTGGCCTTCTGGATGTGTGCGCACGCATGCACGCGCACGCACACACACACACACACACACTCCGGCTCAGCTTGAATTCTAACAGGGTGCTGACCTGCTGCCCCCGCTCCTACCACCTCTGTCCCCATCCACCCACAGCCTCAGTCCCAAGCCGCACTGCAGGTTCCTCAGGCCTCCTAGCTTGCTGCATGGCTGGTACGTCAGTCTCCTGGCTATGCTCTGTTACTTACCCCAGATACGGGGAGCTTTCCATCTCCTCCATCATGAGTTCCAAAAAATAAGTTCATACAAGATCCTTTGATAGTTTTTTCTCTTAGTGCTCTCACTGAAGCCAAAACATCGTGCGGAAAAATAAGCCTTGTTTGCCTGTGTGACACTTCCATTTTAGCAGAGCATGGTAGTTAAGAGTTAGGTTTCCAGGGTTCAAACCCTAGCTCTGCCCTAACAAGCAGTGTGACTCATTTTAACTCTTTTTTTTCTGTAAAATAGAGATCATAATCATAGCTGTTACGGGGATTAATATATGTAACATGCTTAATGTTTGTTGTTGTTTTAAGTGCCATTGAGTTGATTCCAATCCATAGCAACCTTGTATAGGATTTCTGAGGAGTGACTGGTGAGCTTGAACCGCTGACCTTGTGGTTCAAAACGGCTTTGCAGTCCAGCGCATTAGCCCACAGCATCACACCTGGACTCCAGAGCCATGTTTACCACAGACTAAATGTTCAGTGAATGGTAGCTCTGCTTGGGTCCTGCTGATGGATACGGTGGTCCATATGAAGGGATGAGCCATCAGATTGCAGGCCTGTTTCTCAGAAGAGCCTTGCTGTCCACTGTTTAGTATGTGTACTTTGCAGGGACTTTAAGCTCTTTGAGCCCCAATTTTCTCATCTTTAATACGAGAGGAAAGAAATTTCATTCAGCTTTTATGTTCAAATTAATTGATTCTCCAGTGTGTTCTTAATACTCTTAGGGGGTTTCCAAGACTCTTCAGGTCCATGAGGTCAACTCTCATTCTGTCAAGAGTATACAGTGGAATTTTCCAGAGGCTACATGATATGTGATGTCACAATAGATTGAATGCAGAAGCAAATGGGAGAATCCAGCTGTCTCCTATTAAACCAAACTTGAAAGAGATTTACACTCTTCTCACTAAATTTTTTTTAAATAGTCAATAATTGTTAAGAATACAATTTAGAATAACTGATCCAATACCATGAATATCATTTTGAGGCCTGAAGAGAATTCCAGCTCTGAAACTCTTGAGAAAGTGGAGTCCTGTATGCAGCGGTCCTCGCCTTTCCTGTCATCGCCTCTGTCTGCTCTGTGTTCCTCACCTTGAGATACTCTGTTTTTCAAGCTCCAGTCTATTCATTTGTCTTTCCCAGTATAGTTTTCATTCATGACAATGAACTTTCTCTCCTCCATCTCTATTCTTTGCTGGTTTCTTGATGGTCTTAATTTTTGTTTTCTTTTGACCTGTTCTTTTCTTCTGTCATTCCTCTCCCTTCTTCCTTCCATTACTTCACTCCCTCAAGTTTGTTGGTTTGTCCCTTTGCAATTGTTTTCCCTCCTTGGTTTGCTTTTTGACATTTTGACATTTTTATTTTCTCATTTCTGATGTTTACCCTGAATCCTGTCTTTCAATTTATTCATCCATTTAACAAATACTATTAAGCACAAACATTGATTTGCCTTTCCTTTTGCTTTGTATTGAAAGAACAGAAATAAGATAGACATGACCCTGCCCCCATGGAGGTTCCAGACCACCCATGATGGACATTTTTTATAAGGTTGGGGACAGAGTATGAGTTAATTTGACCAGGGTCCCACTTTATCCCCACTGGGTAACCTCTAATCAGTGGTTAGAGCAGTAGCCGCAAGAATAACAGCCGCAGCAGCAGTCTACTACTTGTCAAGTATTAGCTCCTTTATTTTCCACAGCAACTCTATACATTTCACTTTACAGATAGAAAAACTAGGGCTCATAGAAAATGAATAACCTGCCTGCAGCCATACCAACCAAGAAAGAAGGGTATCCTGGTTAGGAGGTGATGTGGGGGAAACTCTGGAGCCAGTTGTGGGAACAGTGTATGAAGCTAGAAATGGCACGCCAGAGCAAAACAGCCTGACTTAGGGCAGCTCCCTAGAGACCTCGCCCCAAGAATTTGTTGCTCTGAGGTTAGAACTGCAAGGCTGCAACTCACTGGAAAGGAATGCCTCTCTGGGTAGAGACGCTAGAGTGTGATCCATCAGTAATGCTTGCCTCCTGTTGCTAAAGACCTGCCCAAGGCTTACCTGGGAATGGTAGGAGCAGCACATGCCAGAGAAATCGCTAACCTTTCTATCGTTCTTTTTGACAGAGTGACGTCAGAATCAAGTTTGAGCACAACGGGGAGAGGCGGTAAGTCTGCTCTTTTATCAGTATTTGTGTCCATGTGTGCTGAAGTTCTCAGAAAGAATCAAGCTCATACTTTCTACTAGGAAGCCATTTCCCTGTGCATAATGGGGCCAATTTGGCGTAAGGGGAGTTTCACCCTTGGCTTGCCTTATCAAGGGTGCCATTTCTGTTCTGAGAATAGGAAACCATTTCGACTGCTTATGTCTTTCTGCTCTGTTCTACTGTTGTTTTACTGGTCAGCATAATGGCATTGTGTTGGGAGAGGAAGTCAGGGTGCCAGCTCTACTCTGGCACCTGGACACTGCCACCTGTGGCATTAGAGGACAGTCAAGATTCTCCTGTGATGTGGTGCCATCCCCATCCCTGCTAGAGTAACCATGATTCTGCCTGCTTCAGGAACCAGGGTGGTGGTTCTTTATCATGTCTCTAGGTCATGGGAAGCTGCATCAAGCCAACAGCTGTGAAAGAGTTCAGATCCTTTGGGATATAGAAAGAGGGCATTTTTCAGTCCATATTCTGAATCTTATTTTCTTAGGGAAATAAAAGTAATATTACAAAATCTTTACATCCTTTTCTCCGCCGTCAGTATTTTAGTTTGTGTGGATTTTTTGTTTGTTTGTTTGTTTGTTTAATAGGAAGTCAAGGTAGACATTCTCAGTGGAGAAAAATGTGACTCTACTTAGGTTCTCAAGTTATTTAAGGATAAACTTTTTTTTTAATGTACAGAACTGTCGTCATGGGATATTTGGGAGTCTGTGTGTGTGCCTGGCACACGTGCACATAAATGCCTTTAATATCTGTTTCCCATTCTGCCTTTTTCCCCTCTTGACATCTTACCCCACTTCTTCCTTTGCTTTGAGTATCTGGAGAGTCTAAGAGCATACCCCTGAACATGAGGGTCTCCTATTGTAACAAGAGTCCCACCTCAGCACCTCTAGCCCTCTAGACATTCTCTGTACTGGTAGTTATTTTGAAGTCAGCTCCAGAGGAGATCTGTGACTGCTGCTCTCCCTTAAAAAAGCCCACTCACAGGCTGCAAGGTGGTCACAGGCTGCCCAGTGGAAAAATTGCGGCGAGTGTGGTCTGCAGAGCCAGGGTCCTGCTGCTGCCACGGGCTCCCAGGCTGCTAAAGGCCTGGAGGGAAGTGTGTCTTCTGAAGCCTGTCCCCAGCTGCCCATCCCATGTCCTGCCAGTCACTTTACTGCTGTTCTTCAAACCTGATGACGGAGGCTTGGGAGGGATGGCTAGACTTGAAGTAGCCGTTTTCAGAAGCAGATAGCTAATCAAAAGCTCAATTGTGTTGGAGCCTAATTATGCAGTTACGCTCGCCTGAATTCCGTTCCCAAAGTGGTGTGCAGTTACAGTGAGTGGACTTACACTGAGAAAGTGTATGTGTTTGGTTTCAGAGGAACTGCCAGATCAAAACCACAACTATTTAAGGTGGTCAGGCAGGAATGACCTTCTGAAGCCCCGACCCACAGAGAGTTGGTATCGAAGTTTTTTAAAATTCTGGATTCTCTTTTGGTGGAGCTGTTTTCAGGAGCCCTGGCATTTGCGATTTGTGTCTTGTGTGTGGAATTGAGGATTTTCTAAAGGACTCAGTGCAGACATTTCTGGTTTCGTGTGTTTCTTGTGTTTGTAGAGAATGTCATTGTGGGCTTTTTTTACTTTTAACAGGAAAGTTAGGTGTTACCTAGCTAAATATTGTAGGTTGTTATAGAATCAGAAGTTACAGAAAAGAGGAAAGAAGTAGTGACTTCTCTCATTCAGCTCTGCCAGGTATCCAGTCTGGTGTGCCAACTGTTCCTTTACTTTGGAAGGGTGAGGGCCAGGCCCCTGACCCGCCTCCCACTCAACACCAAGTGGGCAGAAGAGGAAGGAACGTTTTAGGTTAGAATCGCCTTGCCTTTGAAAACCTTAACTTGAGGACCTTGATGGGGTGGTTGTCACAAGGGGTGGTTAGACCCCTCTTTGAAGCACTGGCCTAAATAAAAATGCCTGTTATTCAGACAGTGTGATGCAGTAACTTAGATCTTATCAAATCTGGAAGCCCTGGTTTCTGATCTTGACCACACTTTTGGACTGCTGAAGGGGATTTCAAATGGCCCATTGCCTGTTTAAATGTAGGAGAGTTTATCTCTGAGCCGGATCCTTTTCCACCAGTGTGGTGAGAACTTCTGAGTGGGCTCCTGGCATTTCATCCAGCAGGGCTGGCCCCTTTCGAACTGTTGCTAAAGCCTTGATGAGCAGAATGTCATTTACTATTAGGAATTAATGAAAAGTCATGTATGGCACAAAGAACTTTAGGCCTTTCACTCTGATTTACTAAAATAACCCCAGCAATCTAGAGGCTTTTGTTTTCCAGTATAAATGGACAAGTGGGACCACACAGGCCCCACACCTAGTGGACTAACTTCAGGAAGGGGATGAGGCCTAATGCAGTCAAGCATTCTCATGATAGGATCAATCATAACTGCACAAGGCTCACATCATGCATATTTATTGAGGTCCCAATGAATAGGGGACCTGGGACCTTGGAGCACTCTCTTTTGGGGGCATTCTGGGTCAGGGAAAATATTCATGCATGAGGAGCGAGCAGCAGTGGAGGGAGGCTCTGTGCCGGACCTTGCCTACTGCTTCTCTTCACTCGTGTCCTTTCTCATTATAAGAATGGGTAACTGTAAGTGTAGACAATAGTTACCGTGAGTTTTGTGAGTCATTCTGGCAAATTATTGAACCCACTGGAGGCAGTGAGAACCAGCAGAGAGGATGGTGTTTGCCTGTTTGACAGGGGCTGGGGCTGGAAGGACAGAGCCCTAACTTGTAGACACCCAACTCTGAGTGATTTGCGTCAGAGAGAGAAAGGGCCATATGGGTGGTTGGTGTCCAGATGATAAAGTGGAAAAGTGGGGATGTAAGGTATTCACATTTTAGAAATCAGCCTTATGTCACTGATCGTTCATATACCATTCTTTCAAAAGAGTCCAGGCAGCACCTAGCACTATCACTGCCTGGGACAATTGATTGAGGGAAAAATAGGAGTTACAGTATAGATGGATTCTCTGCTAGAAGCTGTTATAGCCAGCAGTATAACTTCCTAAAATGAAAGGTGGTGATGGATGTAGAAAAAGCTGGGGGAATTACCTCCCTGACTGAGACATTAGGCTTTGCATGAAGGTGGTTGTTGTTGTTGTTAAGTACCATGGAGTTGGTTCCGACTCATAGTGACCCTGCACAGGCTTTCCGAGGCTGCAAATCTTTACGGGAGCAGAAGGCCTCATCTTTCTCTTGTGGAACAGCTGGTAGTTTTGAACTGCCGACCTTGAGGTTAGCAGCCTGATTCACAACCACTACGCATGAAGGTTAGGTTATGGTTTATAGTAATGTTCCATCAGTGTTGTCCAGTGTCACAGAAGTGTTTTATAGCTGTACAGTAACCACTAGCCCATATGGCTAGTGAGACTGGAAAACCAATTTTTAATTTAATTTAAATAGCCATGTGTGGCAGGCTGATGGCTGCCATATTGAATAGCACAGTTAAAGATAATGAAGATTTATACTGTCTACTGATTGACGTTAGTTTGTCACAGAGCTTGAAAGAAATGATCCAACATTTCATTAAAATCTAGTGGCATAGATCCCTCTTTCCTGTGGTTTATTGCTTCTTCCTTTAGTTATACCACTTCCTACTCAGGGGAGAAGGAACGATGTGAAGGAACCCAACACTTCTGCCTGTCAGCATGGCTGAGTGCCGCTGCCCCAGCACAGACTGCTCTGATTGTAGCCAAGGTGTTCTGCTACTCATCTTCCTGATCACCTTGAGCATCTCTTTATGGGTTTATTAGCCACTCATAACTTTCCAGCGACTTCTCTCATCATATCCTTTGCCTGTTTTTCTGTTGTTTATCCTTCTCTTGTTAACTTTTACAAATATTTTCTCTAAGTTTGTTATTTGTATTTCTAAACTTTTTCATCACAAGTTTTCATTTTAGCTGCCAAATCTGTTTTCATATTGTGCTTAGGAAGACCTTTTATGCCAGTGTTTTTTTTTAATCCTGTATTTTAGTATTTAATTTTTTTTTTCAACATTGAGGTCTTCAATCAATTTGAATTTACTTTGTATATTTAAAAAATGGATATCCAATTGTCCTCCTACTACTTATAGTACAGTCTAGGTTCATATATGGGAGCATGGTGACTCTGTAAGATAAGCAGTATACTATGGACCACAAGCTTGGCGGTGGTTCAAGTTCTACAGGAGAAAAATGAAGAAATCCTACACAGGGCTGCTACAAATCAGAACCAGCTCCCTGGTTCTTTAACAGCGACACACTCACAATATCTATATTTGAATTTCTTTCTGATACTTTCTTCTCTTTCACTTATCTCTTTGCTTGTATATTTATTAAATTTTAGAGTATTCGATTGAACCCATATGAAATTGCTACTTTTGTACAACAAAAATGGTTGACTCTCAGTATAATATCATATTATTTAAGGGTTTTGTTATGGAGATTTCAAATGCACACAAAAGTTGGGAGAGTACGATACTGAGCTGCCATGGACCTGCCACCTCACTTCAACATTACTAGTATTTTGCCAATGTCTTCTCATCTGTATCCCCTTTTTAAAATTTTTCTGGGAGTGTTTCATAACAAATCTTAATATATTTAATATGTTAATATATTTAAGTTTTTACCCAAATTAATACAAGTTTTTTAAACTGATAGAATCTCCAAAAAAAGCTCAGTAGCAATACTACTTACATGCCTAGATATGTCACTGGTTAAGAAAACCAATCAGTCATATAACCGACTCAAGAATAATTCCTTTAACTCTGTGATGTCTGCTTTGAAGGGGGTCTCAATTCTAAGCATAATCAGTATATGGAATCTCAAAAATGAACAACAGAAAAGTCTTTCCAAGTCCTGGAGTTGAGTCATTCAAGAGTTGAGACCATTTTCAGGACTACTGAAATCGCCAGGCTGTTAACTATTTCCTAACAGGAATATTTGGGACATACTTTTTAAAACCCAAATGACCTGCTATGATACTGAACTGCCATTGGCTGAAAGGTCCAAGCTGAAGTTGTAGAACAAATTAAATGTTTGGGGCTGAGCAATACTTGTGAATACTATTTGAATAACCTGATGGATAATCAGAAGAAGGGTGAAAAGGTAAAAGTAGATAAGGAAAAAAAAAAGAGAGAAAGTCTGAATGAAAGAAAGAGATTCATGCCGAGAAGAGATGATATCACTCAAACCATAGCTTCTGATACATATTTAAATATGCACAACCATTACATAGGGGAGTGCCGTGGCTCCTTAAATAAGCACTGGACTGCAAGCCACAAGGTTGGCGTTTCAAGCCCACCAGCTGCTCCACAGGAGACAGATGAGACTTTCTGCTCCCGCAAAGATTTATAGCCTTGGAAAACCCTATACAGGGTCACCAACTTGACAGTACTTAACAACAGTCACCCCTACCACCATTAAATATGACTGATAGACATTTAAAATAGACATGTAACCTGGCTTCTTGCGCCTTTTCAGAATTATTCCATTCAGCCGACCTGTGAGATACGAAGATGTGGAGCACAAGGTGGCAATGGTATTTGGGCAGCCTCTGGAACTACATTACATGAACAATGAGGTAAGGAAGCTGCGGGTACTGGTACTGAGGGGACAGCTGCCCACTTTCTCTGGGCCTCACTGAGGATTTTTCAGTTTGTAGGTTTTCATTTTCAGGAGCCCCTTTTCTTAATTCCAATAACTGGGAGATTTCATATCTGGGAGATTAAACAGTTATTTCCATTCCCTACTCATTCAGTACAGTCCTGGTGTGGCGCTGTGGGATAATGCGCTGGACCGCAAGGTCGGCACTTCAAATTCACCAGCCACTCCTTGGAAACCCTATTCAGGGTCACTATGAATCAGAACAGACTTGACAACAACTCATTCAGTGGAGTCCTGGTGTGGACTGTAGGATATGCAGAAGGCTGCTGACTGCAAGGTTGGTCGTTCAAACCCACCAGTCACTCCTCGGAAACCCGATACAGAGTCACTGAATTTGAACCGACTTGACAACACTGAACAACAACAACTCATTCAGTGTTGTGGGCTAGGCATTGGGCTGCTAACCATAAGATCAGCAGTTCAAACCTACCAACTGCTCTGAGAGAGAAAGAGTAGGTTGTCTGCTCCCATAAAGATTTATAGTCTCCAAAACCCTACATAAGGTCACTATGAGTTGGAAATGACTCGATGAAGTGGGTACTCATTCAGTGCAGGCAGTTCTACCTGGAGCCCATGGTGGAATCAGGTGTGGTGCTAGTGCCAGGCCTTGTATTGTCATCTTTACATTTTGTAGGAGTGTCTTTCTTTCCAGCACAGTCTTAGTAGGAAGCAGAGGGTTTAGCAGGGACTGGAGGAGGTTTGGAAAACTGAGGGGGCAGATCCTCTGTTGACGGTCATAAATGCTAGATTCTGCTCTCAGAGTTTAACTCCTGATTGTACTTATTTGTCTGAAACTTGTTATCTACTCCAGTGATTTCTTTAAACTCACTTCCCTCCAAAACAGTCGTTATTTATTCCAACTGTCATCCAACAAGGAATTCTCTTAAATATTGGTTACTTAGCTACTTTTCCAGCTCCAGCAAAAGCATTAGAGGCTATAGTCTACTTAGGCTGGTGTTTTGAATTAGTATGAAAGGCAGTGTGTTTATTTCTAAAAAAGAGCATGTTCCTTGAATTGAAGCAACATCAGGGTCTTGTAGAATTAGGTCATCTCTAGTTACTTTTATTAATTGAAGAGTTTTTAGCTATTCCGCCATAGTTTGAAGCTGAACTTTGTAGGCCAGAGTTTGGGATTTGTTGGCTACATGCTCCCTGATCCCCTTCCTACAAAATGTACAAGTATATAATTGGATCTACTGTCATATGTTGTTGTTAAGTACCGTAGAGTCAGTTTCGACTCATAGTGACCCTGTACAGGGTTTCCAAAGCTGTAAATCTTTACGGGAGCAGAACGCCTCATCTTTCTCCCGCAGAGCAGCTGGTAGTTTCAAACTGCTGACCTTGTGGTTCGCAGCCCAATTCGTAACCACTATGCTACCAGAGCTCCTTGGATTCTTAGATATGAAACCAAAAATAAGAACAACTAAAGACAAAATAGATAAATGGGATTTTGTGAAAATTTAAAAACTTTCGTTCATCAAAGGACTTTATGAACAAAATGAATACACAACCTTAATATTGGGAGAAAATATTTGGGAACCATATATCTGATAAGGGTTTAATAGCAAGAATATACAAAGAACTTCTACAACTTAACTACAAAAAGCTAAATAACCTAATTTTAAAATGGGCAAAGGACTTAAGTAGATATTTTACGAAGGAAGGTATACAAATGATGGTTGAAAACATGAAAAGATAAATTAACATCTTAAGTCACTTTGTTGTTGTTATGTGCCGTGGAGTCAGTTCCGACACATAGCGACCCTGTACAGTGTTTCCGAGGCTAGAAATCTTTACGAGAGCAGAAAGCCTCATCTTTCTCCTGAGAAACAGCTGGTAGTTTCGAACTGCTGACCTTGAGGCTCACAGCCCGATTCATAACCACTACACTACCAGAGCTCCCTTAGTCACTAGGGAAGTGTAAATCAAAACCACTTCACCCCTATTCAACAAGAATAACAACAAAAACAAAGCTACGGCTATCAAGTCAGTGTCAACTCATGCAAGTTCTATATAGGGTTTCTGAGACTATAAATCTTTAGGTGAACATATTAAAAAGTTAACGTGGACTTATTATATGCTCCAGCAATTCAGCTGTATGTAATTGTTCTTAATTGCCATCGAATCAGTTCTGATCCATAGCAACCCTGTATAGGGTTTCCAAGGAGCAGCTGGTGAGCTTGAACCACTGACTTTGTGGTTCAAACCAACTTTGCAGTTCAGCACATTAATCCACAGCACCACACCAGAACTCTCTCTCTTTCTATATGTTTGTGTGTGTGTGTGTATACGTATGTATATATATAAAGAGAGAATACAATCAACAGTACTCTCTCATTCTAGAACATTCCATTACCCCAGAAAAGCCCTGGACCCATTATCAGTTGCTCCTCATTCCTTCCTCCCATCCCCTGGCAATCACTAATCTGTTTCTGGCTATGGATTTGTCTATTCTGGACATTTCATATACATTGAATCATAAAATACGTGGCCTTTTGTGTCTGTCTACTTTCACTAAGCATATTTTTTCAAGGGTCATCCATGTTGTAGCACATATCGGCAACTCATCCCTTTTTATGACTGAATAATATTCCATTGTATGGATATAACACATTTTGTTTATCCATTCACCAGCTAATGGACATTTGGTTATTATTGAACACTTGTGTATATGTTTTTGTATGAACAAAGTTATCTTGGATATTCATATATACATATGAATTGAACTGGGTCATATTTTGAATTGCTGATGTGATGCTGTAGGATAAGCACTGAACTGTGAAATCACAGGGTCGCTGTGAGTCAGAACCTACTCAACAGCACTTAACAGCAACAACATAACTCTATATTTAACTTTGAATAATCGCCAGACCTTTCCACAGTAGCTGCATTGTTTTACATTCCCAGTAGCATTTTATGAAGGTTGTAATTTTTGCTCATCATCACCAACACTTGATATTTTTTAGGGTTTTGTTTTGTTGATAAGCACTGGACCTCAAGGTCCATTTGAACTGCAAGGTCTGTAATTCAAACCCACCAGCCTCTCCTCAGAAACCCTGTCACTGTGAGTCAGAACTAAGCAGTTCTGTTGTTAAATGCTAGTTGGTTCTGACTCACAGTGACCCTGTACAGGATTTCTGAGGAGCAGTTAGTGGGTTTGAAGTGCTAATCTTCTGGTTAGCAATCCAGTATTTACCAGATAGTGTCACATCAGGACTGCTATATTCTGGATATGTCAGGATGGCCCAGGCCCAGCTGGTGTTTCATTCTGTTGTACATAGTCACTATGGGTCTGAGCCAACTCGATGACACCTAACAACAACAAGAACAACAGCATCACGTATATGATTTGAAAATTTTTCTCCCATTCCATGGGTTATCTTGAGATTTTATTTTAAAAATGGTTCTTGTTGTTATGTGCTGTGGAGTCGGTTCCAACTCATAGCGACCCTGTACAGGGTTTCCGAGGCTGTAAATCTTTACGGGAGCAGAATGCCTCCTCTTTCTCCCGCGGAACAGCTGGTAGTTTTGAACTGCCGACCCTGAGGTTAGCAGCTCGATTCGTAACCACTACGCTACCAGAGCTCCTTCTTACTATTTGCTTTTTCCCAGTTTATATTTTGAGTGTTCATACAAAATGGAAACTGAAGAAACTAAGTGGACTTTTGTTTGATATGGTATTTGCCACAAATATATTAAATCCAATGTTTACTAGATCTTAGACAAAGCATTCTGTTTTTTGATACTAATACCCTGTGCTTTAAAGTAAGATGTTATCTGTAACCTACAGACTTCTCTTCAATAATTTCAATGGCAGAAAAGTAGAGGATTCAAGTCTCTGATTTTTGCCTGTAAACATTAATATTTTAAACCATAGTATTTTGTAAGAATTCTAGATGTGCATTCTTACTTGAATAACAGTTTTCATCCTCTGCCTGCTCCCACCCCTCCTGTCTTTTCTGTCTGTTTTGTTAATGTAAGCACAGTTGAGGATGAGGCAGTGTATGATCCTACTGTTCATTTGGAAATAGGAAAACTATATTGTCTGGGATTTGCGTTCGGGGGTAAAGGGTATTTTTAGAGGAAACTCTTCTCAGAAACGATCTTAAAATGAAACATTGATGTATACTACAACATGGACCAACTAAAAAATACTAAGCAAAGTGGAAAAAGCTTAATAAAAGGCCATATATTGTATGGTTACACTCTTGTACAATGTCTTAAAAAGGCACATCCATTGAGACAGCAGATTAGTGGCTGCCTGAGGCAGGAGTGTGTAGGAAGAAAGTCAATGTAAATGGACACAAGGGATCTTTTTGGAGTGATGAGAATTTTAAAAAAAGATAATATCTGTATGGTTTCAGCTCGATCCAAAGGGGAGTCCTGATGTAGTGCTGTAGGATAAGCACTGGACTGTGAAGTCCATTTGAACTGCAGGATTGGTGGTTCAAACTCATCAGCCACTCCTTGGAAACCCTATACAGGGTTGCTATGACTTGGAGCTGATTCAACAGCACTTAACAACAAGTATCCAAAAGAGTTTTTTTTCCTTCCAGCTTGTATTTGTTTGCTTTTTATTTCATCTACTTTTGCAAACTGAAGCATCAGGATAGACTCGTCGCTTATATGACCTTCTTTTCCTGTGTCCTGTGTCATAGCTCTCCATCCTGCTGAAAAACCAAGATGATCTTGACAAGGCAATTGACATTTTGGATAGAAGCTCAAGCATGAAAAGCCTTAGGATACTGTTGCTGTCCCAGGACAGAAACCATGTAAGTTGCCCCTGCCATGGCCTGGCCATTGGTGACAGTACTGGCCTTCCTGCAACAGCTTGCTTTGCTTCTTACAGCCACCGCCAAAGCAAGGAGTTAGCCCCTCCCAACCCACTGTGTCAGTGACCAGCCAGCCTCTGCATTTGATTTCACTGAGAAGCCAGATTGTCAGTGTTGACGTTGCAACTAAAGGTTATTTGGCTTGTGGTGTGGGAGGAAGGAAAACAGTTTGTGATAAAGGCAAACATTCTTTTGCTTTATATTTATGGTCTTTCAATTAGATTTTGACCCTAGCAAGATAGATTGGGTCAGCATGGGGATGCTGATTAGCCAAGGCTGCCGAGGATTTGAGACACTCACGCTTTGTAAAGACATTTCCCACAATGCCACAACAGTTTTGCCTTTCCCCTAAGACATATGTAGGAAGCAAACTTGTGTCCTTCTGTTCAGTGAGAAGAAAAGCCCTCGGCTGGAGGGCCTCTTGTACTTACCAGTTGCTGCTGTATCACCAAATGGCAGGCAATTTACAAGGGTCTTCAGAAGTTAAGAAATTACCTCTTATGTAATGTCCTCTCTCTTTAAGGGCCCCTGGGGCCTGCATTTCATAGGAATGCTTTCAATCTGGTTCTGTTTTCACATCACTGATACCTCTTGTCCTCAGATGAATGTTCCTGAAAGTCCCTGCACTTCTGCCTTAGCTGATGCTTGTATCCCTCCCACCTCAGCCCTGCCAAAGCCTTGCCTTAGGCTTTGTTATTTTGAACTCCCCATTTCCCCTCGCAGAGCCTTGGCACCTACTATCTTTGGAAGATATTTGAGCATCTCCAGTATTTCTTGCTACTCCAGGCCTTGGACTATCAACTTTAAAAAAAAAAAAAAAAAAAAAAAAAGCTTTCTTTTATTGTGAATTGAGTGATAGTTTTCATGGGAGAACATCAGTTTTGTATTCATCCTATCATATTTCATTTCATTGCAATGATTACACTCTCCTCCATGCATCATCATTCAACAGTATTTGCTTCTATTCCCTCTGTTTTGTTTTGATGTACACAAAACATTCAGGAATATATAATCATTTAAACAACTCAAGAACACATTCTGCGAGCCTGCCTCCTGGCCACCAGCACACAGCCTTTTTCTTTCCATAAGTCTAGAGTCCTTAGCTGCTGTCTCTCTCCATGTCATCATCTCCGCCTCCACATCTGGTGTTGCTGCTTCTCTGGATATGGTCCCATATTCTGCTCATGCTCTTCTCCCTTGATGGTTCTAGGGTCCTCTGTTCCTGGAATGTAAGATTAACTACTCCCCACTTTGTGTTACAAGACTTCTACCTTTATTGTTGTGACAATCACAATTAGTCATAGTAACAATTACTCACTACTGAATCATAAGAGTCATATCACCATCTCTTTTCACCAGACCTGTCTAGACAAGATGAAAACTATTCAGTGGGGATTCTACCTTCCCCTACTAAACTCCCTCATGAAAACTTGTAAGCCAGCCATTTCATGCCTTTATAGTCTTCTCCTCCCCCCCCACCCCATTTTAGGTAGTCAGTGTCTAAGTTGCCCATCTCTATCAACCCTTTGTACAGAGGGGATAGGTTTGATCCTTGATGTGAAGACACCTTCCCTCTCAGTCGGCATTTTGACCTACTGCCTCCATAAGTGTAGGTCAAGTTCATTAAATTGTAGCAATTTACACTTGTTTCCTTTATCAAATTTCTTTATCTTCCTCTAGTCAAGTTCTGATGAACTATCAACTCTTATTCCTATGAAGACTTCTCTAAACATGCACCTGTTTCTCTGCTCTTTACCTTTTTATGACTGTAGTCCCAGATCTTCACTAGCATAATATAATCTTAAACGTGACTTTCTTTCATCACTTGACAAATTCAGTTCTCTCTGACAAAAGTAAACTTCAAATCTTCTCATCCAAATGTCCACTTCCTAAGTTTTCCAGCAGTGAGTTCGGCACTATCTTGCTGACTGTTTAAGCTCAAAATATTCAAGAGCGTCTGAAGGTGGGTCTTCCAAAAAGAATGATGGAGCAAGTAAAAGAAGATAACAAGAAAACTGGTTGGGCAGAATAGGGATAAATTTGCTTTATGTCTCATAGTTCCAAGATAGTAACACCTGCCGTGTAGAAAGGTACTTTCGGCTCTCATTTGATATGATGACAACTCTGAGGGGCCAGAGGCAGGTCTGTCATCTCCAGGCTGCACTTGGGGCAGTTGAGCCTCAATGAGATGAGAAATAGCAGTTGTAACTTGTAGTGCAGTGCCTCTCTGTTACCACCCAGGAATGGGATCTTAGAATTTCCTTTGCCCTTCAAAAGTTTCACCCAGCTTCCTCCATCCAGCAGTTGGATGTTGTTAGAACCAGAACAGAAAGGATAACGCTGCCCTTGTGGGAAATTGCTCAGGTGTGTTGTTCTAGTCGTCACTACTCAGAAGATAACTGAGCTAGAAAAGGCCCAGGAGAGAACTGTTTGCTCACAGTTGAGGATACTTTTCTGTGTGACTAGCCTGAACAGCTTAGAACTCTTCAGTCAGGAAAGGTAGCCTAGTATCTGTGCATTCAGAGTCTGTGATGCATTGGAGAGTGTGGATAATGAAAACACAGATTTATGTACCAACTCTCAATTTAGATGAGCCCCTTGAATATCAGGAGTTATGTTGAGAACAAAAAGGAAATAGGAATTTGTATATGGCCATGATATGCATGGCATCTGTTCTTCTGAAGTTGTATAGCTTCAAAACATTTTTTTTTAAGTTTTTAATAAGTTCATGGGTGTTAAAGCTATCAACTAAATAAACTGGATGCTTCTAGAACTGTCTAAATGATCTTAGTGTTCCATGCACATGTTTTGAGGCTATCAGAGCATTGCATCACCTCAATAAAACTGTAGGTTTTAGCACATGCACTAAAGTGTACAGAAAGAGATAATTTCAAAGCTCCTTTTAAAGAATTTGTTTTATACCTGTTACACCACATAGTATGCCATTTTTAAACATTGACAGGTAACTCCCTAGTAAGATTCTTAAAGCAAAACCAAAAACATTTACCTTATTAGAAACAAGATACACTATTCAATTGTTGTCTTCAAACATTATCGCACTTTGAAACAATCTGCAGACAACTACTGTTTTAACAAAGAACACTTTTAAGTAGACATGACTGTCCTAAACTGTTGATTAGGCCTGAGTTTTACAAACATTACTTATATTAACGGTAGTGGTGGAGCTAGAGAGTGTTGTTTCTTCTCCAAGCAGCCCGGCGAAAACCACCAATAGGGTGGTGGAACTTGTGGCCCTTCCTCAGGCCACGGCTCTTGCGGCCTGCAGATATCAAACCACACATCTCCCTGAGCTTGTGAACTGGCTTGGTGATACATTGGGTGTCAGGATGTTGTCTGATAGCTTTATGAAATGGATCAATGAGGATAACTTCAAAAAATTTGTATGTGTTGTCTTCACCAACCCAGTAAGAATTCAAGACTCTTAGGGCCTCACAGTGGCGTCCAGCTTGCTCCGCAGCCACAGACTGAAGGCTTCTAGTAAACTTCAGCTGGTTAACACCATGTAGGATAGGCTTGCAATGGGTTGCATCTTTAGGCACTGGGCGTTTGCGGCCACCTCTGCGTGCGCGAATCTGATAGATGGCATAACCTTGCTTGGCCTTGTATCCCAGTCTGTGTGCCTTGTCTGGCCAGGTGGGACGGGGGCGGGGGGGGGGGGGAGGTGGGGCCTTGTGCAGTGCAGAGAGCTGGTGGTACTGCCAACAGCAGACCCGCAGAAGAAATCGCATCACATCGGACTGTCTCTTCCGCCATAGTTTCTGGATATACTTGTAAGCACCTATCTCGGCTTACCCTGATGGCTGCCGTCAGACGGAAAGGAAGCAGCTTTCTCCCACACCTACAGTGTATATTCTTGCACAGCCCAACTTCATGCTATGTCTGAGGACTACGGATGCTCATTATGCAGCTCTCCTTGGACTAGAGGGCCATGGCCTTCACTCGCCCTCCGCTGGCCTGCTTCCCCAGTGTGTGGCTGGGCTGTTTTTTCCTTTCTGACTTGCACTGGAGAACTATTGCACATCTGAGGCTTCAGCAAGAACATTCACTTCCCCTTGCTTCTGACTTCCCGTTAGAGCAAGACAGTTTGTTAAGACAGCCCTGCATGTGATCAGGTCTGGCTGGGGGGACTAAAGGAGCCAGCTTGGCAGCTGAACGCCCCCTGAGAGCGGGAAGCCTTTTTCCTGAAGGACAGGATATAGAGTTTGTTTAGGTCAGACTTTTTTTTAATGGAAGTTAGAGGAGCCAGAGATGCCAGAAGAAACTTTGACCCAAATTGTTTATAAATTCTGAGCTCCCAGTCCACTCTCAGTCGCACTCTGCTTGTTTGCAATTGCATCCCAACAGTGCTAGCTCACACTCAGGGCTCAGTTTTAAGCCTCCTTACTGCAAGGGGCCCCTCTGTTTCTTCATCTTCTCTCTAGGGCTCCCCTGTGGTTTCAGTGGGTGAGCACAGAAGTGGGGGTGGATGTGGTAAAACTGCTGACCTTGCTCCGAGGTCCCTGACCTCTGGCAGAACAGTGTCTTTCCTGGTTGAACTCAATCTTGAGATGAGTCTCATGTAAGTGCTGGTGTAGTGGGAAACATCTGAGGTCGTCTGACCTTCATTTCCAGGGAGAGATTGAGGTTGGAAAAGAAGCAGTGTGTCGACTGCCTTTGAAAATCCAGATTGATCAACCAGAGTTTTGTTGGTTGGGGAGATTGCCATCATTCTCCATTCTAACCCCTTACTAGGCAGGTAATCTCTGCTAAAATAATTTCCTGCTATTCTTCCTAAACTCTGGGGAGTTTTGTGAGAAGGTATTTACGGATCGCATTCGCATTTGGCAGATTCCTATAGGATTGCCTGTTATTTCTTCATATCTGGGTCATCACCTAGTAAACTGGGGCACCAGGTCTCGGACCTTAGATACCTCTGAAGCTGCAAAACAGTATTGAGGAATTCAGGAAGACAGCAAGGTCTGGGGGAAGTAGGAGTGCTTATGTGTTGTTATTGTTGTTAAACTGAGGTGGTTGAGAGAGATGTCTTAGGGAAGGGAAGAGACCTTAATGGGTCTGCCTGCTTAGAGACCTGTCTCAGTCTTTTTCCTCTTACCTCGCAGACCACTTCCTCTCCCCACTCTGGGGTGTCCAGGCAGGTGCGGATCAAGGCTTCCCAGTCTGCGGGGGATATAAATACCATCTACCAGCCTCCTGAGCCCAGAAGCAGGCACCTCTCTGTGGGTGAGTATTTCTTCCCATTTTTTCTTTTCATCTAATTTACCCGCTCACATTGTAAAAATTCAGCAAATATTTATTGATTAAAAATAGTCAACAAACATTTACAGACTGCTATTCCATGCAGAATTCTCTTCTATGAGTTTGTGGAGGTAGGCAGGCAGAGAAATGACTAGGACAAGAAAGGAGCTTGTACCATCACGCTGTAATGGTGTGATAAGATTCCTTTTAAAGGCCCATGATCGCTCCTAACATCCGCTTGACCATCTCTAGCGCCAGTGTCAGGCTACCTTCCTTACTCCTTTTGTTTTCTTTCTTGGCTGTGCTACCGTCATTCTTGACCAGTCTCTCCCAAAAGAACTGTGGGCCTGTGAAGTTAGAAGTCAGGTCCATGTTTGAGTTTTGACCTTAGCTTTTTACTTACGTTTCCTAAAGAGTCCTGCTCCATGGGAAGTTGTTGACCAATGAAACTCTAGGAGAATCAGGCTAAGTTGTCTGGGAAGGGCAAGGAGACTGTTGACATAGCATATTCAATTGGTTGACTAGTAAGAAAGCTATGTAGCTGGTGCCAGGCCTCCCAAGGAGAGAAGTCTAAATCAGTTTTCTTGTTATGCCAGATAACCCAATAGTGCCCTAGATCCCATTTCCCAGAGTCTGGGGTTAACACCCACTTCTTAAATTATAGAAGTTATATCAAGAGGGACATCTAGCGTCATGACACATTTGTGTTGAACAACCTGTCCTAATGGTGCTGAGACTCCTGCTGCCACTTGGAAACCAAGTTTGCCCTTGAGTATCCTCAGAACCCTAGACAGGGTCACTATGAGCTGGAACCGACCTGACAGCACTTAACAACAACAACAGTATAGGATGAGTTGCATCTAAAGAAACTGCTCTCTGAGGAACATACTCTCTGGAGATATGGGGTTGTGCGTTGGTCCTGTTATGACTATTTCTGGTGATGTGCCTCCTGACAAAGTTGCAGGAAAAATGTGCTCCTGAGGCACTGGTTTTGCCTTACTTGGCAATGTCTGGAACTTGTCAGGCAAGCATTGGTAATAAGTGCTGCTAAGTTGAAAGTCTGTGTGTAAGTTTCTGATTTCTCTAATGTTGTGATCATTGGTGACTATGTTTTCAGTATGGAGCCTCTCTGCAGGGCATCTCCAGCCCTGAATACAGGTGCCCTTGAGCCTGGGAAACTGCCAGCTTGGCCCCTAGTCTAGAGCCTTTGTGGAGGTTGATGGGTTGGAAGAGGGCAGCACTACTCATGTGTTGACTAAGCAAGGAAGACTGATTGGACCTCTTGCCTGTAACTAAGACTATTGATTTCTGTTTGGAGGCAGGACCTAAATGCTGGGCCACTTGGAACCTTTCCCACATTGTAGGGAGCTGTATGTGCAATTCCCCTGACAGAGAATGCTGAGGAATAGGAGTTCCATGAACCATTTCCTGGTAGAAAATGGGCAATACTTTGTTCCTTCATTCAGCAAGCATTATGTGCCAGCTGTGGACTGGGGAACTGCTCCAGTGGCAGCAGGGATAGGGTGCTGAGAGAACTCTCACAAATTCTGCCCCGGAGCATGGGAAGTTCTTCAGAACAGAAGCAGCAGCACCAGAGTAGACACTGTCAGGCTTACTGAGACAGGTCATCCAGGCACCCCCACATCATAGCAGATGGTTTGGAGGGGGTGGAAGGAGAGATCCCCATGGCAAAAGACACAAACAGAGCTTGCACGCCTTTCTAGAGAGCCAAGAGATGTCACAGGTTATTTCTAATTGAAATGATCTGGGAAATGCATTCTGGAAGGGAGCTGTTTGGAAGCTTATGAAGGATTTCCATGGGCACAGATGAGGAAAGAGGTTAAGTTGTCTGTGGAGATCTCACATACACTCAGAATCCATAGTGATCGATTTCTGTCCAGGACAATGAGAGCAGACTGAGAAAGGAGGATACCTGAGGTCACAACCTTATCTACCCTGAAAATGCTTAATCCTGGTTTCCATCTCTACTATAATGCTCATTTTATCTCTTCCCCAGTAAATTGCATTTGTATTCATTCACTCAAGATGTAATTGCCCAAAACATGGAAATAAAAAAAGATAGGGGTCCTGTCCTTGTGAAAATGAGAGACCTGTGGAAAAACAGACATTTGCTTGTCATGGTGTGATTAATGTTTAAGTCTAAGCTTTGTCATACTGTGGTGGCTCACATGTTGCTGTGATTCTGGAAGCTATACCACAGGTATTTTAAATACCAGCAGGGTCATCCACGGTGGACAGGTTTCAGCTGAGCCTTCAGACAAAGACAGACTAGGAAGAAGGAGAGACAGACTACTTCTGAGTATTTAGTCAATGAAAACCTTATGAATAGCAGTGAAATACTGTCAGCACCAGACTACTGACTACTGAAATATAATGAAGGGCCCAGAATATCATTGGTTATAGTGCCAGAAGATAAGCTTCTCAGGTTGGAAGGCACTCCAAATAGAACTGATGAAGAGCTGCCTCCTCAAAGGAGAGTTGACCATGATGACGCAAATGGAGTAAAGCTTTCGGGACCCGCATTTGCTCATGGGGGCCACAACTCAAATGAGGAGAGGCAGCTGTAAACATCCTTTAATAATCAGAACATGCAATATACAAAGTATGAATCCGGGGAAATTGGAAATTGTCAATATTGAAATGGACTGCATAAATATCAATATGTCCTAGTCATTAGTGAGCTGAAATGGATGGGTACTGGCCATTTTGAATCGGAAAATCACATGGTACTATGCTAGGAATGACAAATAGAAGAAGAATGACATCACATTTGTTACCAAAAAGAATATAACAAGATCTGTCTTGAAGTACAGCACTGTTTGTGATAGGATAATATCCATACACCTACAAGGAAGACCAGTTAATAGCACTATTTTTCAAATGTATACACCAACTGCTAAAGCCAGTGATGATGAAATTGAAGATTTCTACCAACTTCTTCAGTATGAAATTGTTTAAATGCAATCAAGATGTATTGCTAATTACTGGTGATTGAAATGAAAAGGTTGGAAACAAAGAAGAAGGTTCAGTAGTTAGAAAATATGGCCTTGGTCATAGAAACAATGTTGGAGATCACATGATAGAATTTTGCAAGACCAGTGACTTCTTCATTGCAAAAGCCTTTTTTAAACAACATAAAAGATGACTGACTATACACATAGACCTCACCAGATGAAATGCACAGAAATTAAATTGACTATATCTGTGGAAAGAGATGATGGAAAAGCCATCATCAGCCAAAATAAGGCCAGGGGCTGACTGGAACAAACCATCAGCTGCTCATATGCAAGTTCCAGCTGATCTGAAGATAATTAAAACTAGTCCACAAGATCCAAAACACGATCTTGAACATATCCTACCTGAATTTAGAGATCATCTGAAGAACAGGTTTCATGCATTAGACACTAAAGACTGAAGACCAGAAGAGTTGTGGGCTGACATCAAGAACATCATATGAGAATAAACCAGAGTCATTAAGAAGACAAGAGAGAAGGGAAAGACCAAAAGGGATGTCAGAAGAGACTCAAACCTGTTCTCTGGCGTTGAGATGCTAAAGTAAATGGAAGAAATGAGGAAGTAAAAGAGCTGAGCAT